CACACACACAAGTACCTGCCTCATTCAGATTTTGTTTTTCTTTGTCTTTGTTGTTTGTTTGCTTATGTAATCCAACCAAACAGCATGGCCTTGAACTTGCGGCAACTATTTTCCTGTGTTAGCCTCCTGAGTGCTGGAATTATAGCCTTGCATCTACATGCTCCACCCCTCTTTTTATTTATAGGTCTTTTTATTAGGTAAGATAATTACATTAAATTGTTGCAAACAGTAGCAAGCATGACATAAACATCAACAAGTTTATTGTTGTTTTTTTTAATCTGTGGGAAGCATTGTATCAGGTTTTAGAACACTAGATGAGTGAGGCAAGGTTCTTGCCCGCCTCCAGCAGCTGGGAAGACAAACGGTAGTTATAGCTTACTATGCACTGCGATGGCTGCTGACGGGTTATACAGCTGTTACGGGATCACAGAGGAGTGGGAAATCCGAGGGGAGGGGCTTCCTGGAGGAAGTGATACCTGACCCATAGGACAGTCAGAATATTCCCTGACTTAAAAGATAGAAAGGATGATCCTGAGGTGGGTGAGAGGACTCCACAGGTGACACTTGTCCCCAAAGCCTGCCGACTTGAGTCGGATCCCCAGAATCCATGTGATGGAGAGAGAGAACCGACTCCCCCAAGGTGTCCTCTGACCTCCTTCACATGTGTGCTGTGGCACATTTATGCATGAGCACATGTGCACATGCATTCACACAAAATAAATAAACATAGAAGGGTGCTCCTAGGCTAGAGTATCAGGTACAATGATTCTGGGCACTAGAGGATCAACTAGGGTGACGTTTCCAGTGGGAAATACATTATAGGACCTCAGAGTGGGTGCAACAGTTACCTCCTGCCTGTCACAAACTACCCCCAGATTCATCCATTTGGAATAATGTTTATTCTCTCCTATTGCCTGGATGTGGCTATGTAGGATACCCAGGCTTTAGATTCCCACTAAGGTAGATCAGGCAGGACTCCCATTGGAGCCTCTCTAGTGTGCAGGCTGCAGCTCCTGGTGGCTGTTGAGGGGAGACCATCTCGGCTCCCTTCCACAGGGCAGCTCTGACAGGCTGCTCTGCTCATCAGAGCAAGCCAAAGAGAAGATGACAGAAGTCATAGTCTTTTCTATATAACCTGCTATCAGAAGTGACATCCCCCTACTTTTGCTGTATTCAAGTCATTAGAGGCAAGTTTCGTGATCCGAACCACACACAAGGGGGAAGGATGGTACCAGAGCAAGGATGGAGTATGGAGAGGTCACCCTGAGTCACTTTTGAAGCTGTTAGACCACAGGCTGCTCTCTGGTCTCTGCTGATTCCTGTCTCTTCCATGTGCAAAATGGTCATTCGTTCCCAAAGTCCCAGCCCATGATGACAGCCCCATGTGAATCTGGTCTGGTGTGCATGAGGCTACAGCACATATACCTTACGTAGAGACTCCAGAATGCTGACCATTTAGATTTGGCAATTTTCAAAGTGGAACCAAGTATATCTGTGACCCTTCTTCACGTCTTAACATAGGATGGTACTGGGTCACAACTACAGATATTCCTGCTCAGAAGGAAGATACGAGGCCTAGAGGAGTCACTGGCCCAGAACAATTTTGAAATCCAGTCAGAAAAAAAAAATGTGGGTGTTTGCTTGATCCCATTTGAAAGCCTGGGACAGTTCTCCATGACTTAGGGCTCCTCCTTCTCAACTGGCATGCTCCCCGTAAGCCCTCTTTCCTTAAAACCATGCCTTTGGTGCTGACTTGATTCTTCATCCAACAGCCCTTTTAAATGTTGTACTGGGCCAGGTGTAGTAGTGTGTACCTATAATCTCGGCACTCAAGAGACTGGGACAGGAGGATCACTGTGAGCTTGAAGCCCAAAAAAAGCATTGATTAATTAGTTTGTTGATAAATTTTGCACTTTCTTGGCCCCTTTCAGCCCCAGCTGTCAGTCTTTTCTCCAGTAAGATTTTTCTTGAAACCTTTGCGGGTCTCCTGTAACTCTCACTGACATCACCAACATATTCACCAGGATTGACTGCAAGCAAAGAACTGGACTCTTGAGCCCTGGGGATGACTTGTGCTGCAGCTTGGGACACGACTAAGATGCACCCTGCCTCAGATGCCCAAAACCTAAGAGGCGTCTGATGCCACTAGGGTTTGAGTTCATTTGTTACCACCTGGAGTCCATAGTGAATGTAGAGACCATGAGACTCACTTCCAAAGACTTGACTAGAGCAACACCCACATTTTCATTGGGACTGAGCCTTCCCTGCCCAGACCTCCAGCTAAGACAGCCAAGGGGCAGCTTCCATAGGTCCCACTGTGCCTCTTGTTTGGTTTACAGGATTCTGGAGGCCAAATCTGATCTCTAAGAGTCTGTGGGGACTTTTTGATACCCTGAAGTCTTAACCAAAGGCTTATACCATTCCCACCCCACCTCATCTTTAAACATCTCTCCAAAGCCCTTTCCCAATGTTTAACATCATTTGCTCTTAGGAGGGAGAACTTTCCAAAGGAGCAGGTCCTACTTCCTCTTTAATTCAGGGCTTTCCTCTCGTGGATGTAGTGAGAAATCCCCCCTCTAACCCTGGACACCTCCTCTTTGCTACAAGACCACAGACAACAGTATCACTAAACTCTGCCGCACCAAGGACGGACGCCTTTCTTCCAGTTCCTAACACACACTCCTCACTTCCCGAGCTCCCACAGTCAGCACCCTCCAAGTCTGCCTTTCAACACTCGGCTTGAGCATTTGCACTCTAACAATCTTCTCCAAAGCACTCCCAGCCTTTGCCCCCCAGACGCCTGACTCCAAAGCTCTCTCATGTTCTATAGGTCTGTGTCGTGGCTCTCTCACCTTGATACCCAAATCTTCACCCACTATATTCTGGGTGACACAAGTAACCCCAAGCCTTACCTTAGTGGCATGAAACGTGAAACACCTCTTAGGTTCTGTGTGTCTGCAGAATAAGTAGCCTTGGGGCTACAATGCCCAGTTCTTGTCTGAAGACAGTCCGGTTCCTGGCTCTCTCTTGGAAGGATTTTGTTCCTTGAGGACCAGGCTGGGTACCCCAACTCCCTTTGTGTATCACTGCCATCTACCCTATGTGCCTTGCCTCATGACCTTCTTTCAGGGGCAGTTTTCCATGTCAGCATGCTCCAAGCAAGCAAGAAGAATTTTATAAAGTCTCAGGATTTATAGTCCAATATTTTAAAAAATGACATGGTTGGGGAGAGGACTCAATTAGGTAAAGGTCTGCCTTTTGTCCCCAGAACCCAAATAAAAGAAGCCAGGCAAGATAGTACAGTCTTGTAATCTCAGCATAGGCCAGAGACAGGTAGACAGTTGGCAAGTTCCAGCCAAGTGTGTGTATGTGTGTGTGTGTGTGCGTGTGTTCTAAGCACCTGAAAAATGACATTATCCTGTGGCTTCCACACACATGAACATACACAAATGACAAGGCAACATTTTTGTCCTTCCTGTCCTGTTTATTGGAATGGAGCCTCTAGATCCGGCCCACACAGGATGCATAGGGTAACACAGGCTACAAATATCAGGAGGTGGGGCCACCAAGAGCATCTTACAAGCCCAGGGACAGTGTGACTGGCGAGGCCTCCATGGCCTGATTATGTCATGTCTGACTCCCACAGGTGACAGGCGACCAGGCAAACATGTCATCGTTAAAGGGGAGAGGCTTAGAAACATGGCCAGCAGAGCAGTCTACACAGAAGGGCCTGGAACAGGCACCCCCCTGGATGAGGAGGGCAAAGCTGTTTGGGGGGGCTCTAACAGGAAGCTCTCTGTCACTACACCCCAACTCAAAGATCCAGGACAGCCTCAGCATCCCCTGGTCCTTTTGGTTGATTCTGCTTCCTCAGGGTAATGCCTTCACCTTTTTTAAGCTACCCACCAGCAGACCAAGCCAAATACCACACACACCCCCATTACCAAGGGCATCCATCCCCCCACATTGCACCATTTTCAGGACTGGCTGTGGCTTATCTTCAGCTTACCTGAAGGTCAAATGACATCTGAGGAAGTGTGACAAGAAGCTGCATGACAAGACAGTGGGACACCCCGGCCTTTATGACCTCGCCTTGGTGACCACACCCTGTCTACGGACCTGACCTGCAGCCTCACAGGCAAGAGAAGTGGAGCTTTAGTCCCCTCGACAGCTAAGGGGTTATGGGTAGTGAAGCCAACAAACAGATCCTAGTGTGGTTGAGTGACATCTCACATCGATCGTCCTGCATCCTCGATCTACTTCTCTCTTGGGATTTGAGGGAAACCCAATAAATGAAATATACTTATTTCCCTCTCCAGCGCAGAATCAATTGGCGGATGAAGGAAAGGCAAGGGGGGGGGCGGGGTCCACTTCATTACTGCGGAACTGATCAGAATGCAGACCTGAGCACACTGCGGGGAGGGGCCAGGGCTGGGTGCAGAGCACCTTGGACATGTTGAGGCCGCAGATAAAGCCTTTCTCGGGGACACTCTGGTACCCATGCCTAGCAGCCCCCGTTCTGAGGAGAGCAAACCACAGAGAGAGCAAACCCAGTTGTCACACTGGGGTTTCAGCTGTGGCCACTCCAAGCAATTCCCAATGGAGGCCCCTCATTATCTCTGCTCTTGGAGAGGAACATGAGTTTATTAGCCTCGTATCTTCTAGCTTTGCCTCCTCTTCCTGCACTCATCGCGGGAGATTGGCACTTGATAGTCTCTGAAGATTCTGGAATGATCGATAACAGACACCATCAATAGCCGCACACGGCTCCTCTCAACCGCACTGAAAGCCCTCTGTGGTCTCCTGCTGCACTCATATTTCATGTGAGCTTGCCAAGCCTGGCACCTCTCAAGCTTCCCCTCACACAAGGTGCTCTGGCATGCCTGGCGTCCCTCTAACACACCACGTCTGCGTCCTGCCTTAGGACCTTACCCCTAGCTGCCCTGCTGGCTCCGAAGGACTCTCTCCTCAGGACTTGGGATCCTCAAAGGTACTTTTGATGCTGGAATGATTAGATGGCTCCACAGGTAAAGGCACTGACAACTTGTTTGACCCCTGGATGGAAGAGTTTCCCTCTGACCTCCACACACACACACACACACACACACACACACACACACACACACACACTGCCCTCTACCCAATCTGTCATTGTCTATCCATCACCTGGCACTAGTGATGACTGTAATGTATTGGCTGGCTTTTCTGTCTCTTCCTCCCTTGATATATGTCCCTATTACTGGAATGATGCAGGAAAGTTTAAAAAATATGTATTAATATGATGAATAATAGATTAATGACTACATGAACACAGAGAGAGGTACCAGAAAGAATTTATTCATGAAGATGGTGATGAGCCCAGAGGCCCAGTCTGTCTTCCCAAGGGCTGGGAAGCCTCACCCATCGTGTTAGATGCAGGCTCCCCTCCCCTCCTCTCCATGTCCCTCCATTGTCATCACACTGTGGTCATTGGAAGCCAGTGGAGTCATCTCCTCCTAGTTAATGTGGTCCTCTTTCATTAGGGGCCCTGCATCCTGTTGTCCGAACTCTGACTTGACCACCCACACTCTCATAACTACACAGAGGGAGAGAGGGTACAAGGTCCCAGAGCAGAGTGTGATGTGCCATGCAACTGTCCACCAGGCATCTCCCATCTGCCACTAAGAAGTAGAATAGTCTAGGTCCAAGCACTGGACAGAGGGGAAGGTGTTTAAATCTATGTTTCAAGGGTTGGTTGGTAACAAGGGACTGGAGACATCAATCATCGGCTGGCTGTGGAGAACAGTCATGAACTTGAGGATAAATATTTTCACCTTTAGCTTCACAAGGGCATAAGCCATGGTTGAGATGTCACGTGATGACTCAACTGTGGAGATCACGGCCTGCTGGTATGGTTACCACAGCCTCCACAGCCTCCACTCCCTTGTGTGTCTAAGTCTACTTTTCAGATTAGCTTAACATCCCCTCAGTTCTCAGTTCCTTGGCGTTCTCACCTCATCCCACAGCAAGGAAACTTTCTAGGAAAATTGACTAGCAAGGTGGAGTACCATTGGTTAGAAGTAATGCCACCTATTAGGTATTCGGGTTTGTGCCGCCTCATTTAATCACAAAGCTAATTCATAAGGCAGGTGCCATACCCCACTTCAGATGAGGAGGACATGGCTCCTTAGGAGCCGCGAGGCAGGAGGGATGAGTGTGGGCTGCATTTTGAGAGAGCGGAGAGCACTTCATTCTGATGATCTCTTTCCAATGAAGCAGAAAACGAGGATGTCTCCTGAGAGCATGGAGGGGGGGGGCAGAGCCAAGCTGGAGCACCAGCTGTAAGCCATGGGGGGCGGGGGTTCACTAACATGACAGGGGAACCCCTCCCCTAATTCATAACTCTATGTTTTTAACTTTAACTCTCAGGCAGGGACTTCATCTCCAGAAAATCAAAATGGTGGCTGGGACAGACAACTCAGTTTGGCCCTAGAGGAAGAGGAATGGGTGCCGGCTAGTCAATAAATTCAGCCCCAGCTTCCTGGTCGGGACACCACAGGTACCCCGTGGGATGGAGTGAGGGCCTCCCATCCTCTATACTAGGAAGCTCCCCTACCCAAATGACAACTGTTTTCTCACACGCGTGCTGTGAGTTGAACCTTGCAAGCAGCCCCCCCCCCACACCTTGTCTCACGACACCAGGGCCAAGAAAGGCAGTTCAATGACATTTTATTTTCTCATACTGGTCCTGGCCGACCCCCGGACCGCCCTCTTCCTGCCCTGACTTTGTCTTTGCTTGCGGTAGGCCTCCAGTTCCTCGAAGTACTTTGCTCTCAATAGTGCAGCCTTCTGCTCATACGGCTGCTTTTCCACATTCGATGCTGTGGACCACATCTTCCCCATGGCCTTGGCCACCTGCACCACTGACCAGTTGGGGTTCTCGCGCTTCAGCTGGGCATAGTTATCCAGGGAGAAGAGCAGGAAGGATGATGGAGGCTGCCGAGGTGCCTGCGGGTCCTTCTTTCTCTTCCTCCTCCTCCTCCTGCCCATGTAATTCATCATTTCTTCCTGGTATCGGGCTTTGTCGAGCTTGGCCAGGGCTTCATACTTTGCCTTTTCATGCTTCGAGATGGATTTCCATTTTTCTGAACACTTTCTAGAGAACTCTTTAAAGCCAAGGTAGGTGTTTGGCTGTTGCTCCTTGAATTTGTTCCTGTAATTCAGCATAAAGTGGATGTAAGAAGAGACGTTCACCTTGGGCCTTAGCTGTACTTCTTTCCCCATGTTTGTATGACCATGATCTCCTCCTCTGGATCCCGCTAACTCGGAGAGCAGAGACTTCTGTTTCTGCACCCCAGGAGCAATCTAAAAGGTGCTCTGCTTGCGGTGAAATTTTCTCTGTGTGCGAGCCTCAGCCAGGGCCCGGCCTTTTCAGTGCTGGTGGCTTTGTTGGGTCAGAGAAAGGAAACTGTGATGTCATCCCTGAGCTGGCCAATGCCAGCCAAGCTCAGTCATTTGCATGTAGGCCCTCTTAGTAGTCGGTTGCCTCTAAGGAACGATGAGGGTTTATCTGAACCTTACTAGAGCAGCTCCTGGCCCTGGGAATCTTTCCTGTTGGCTTCCTAGAGGCTGTGGGCTTTGCCCTGCCTCTGGGGGCTTTCAATTCCTATCCTGCAGTGGGTCATAACAAGGGCTGCCTCTCTCCGTGCATGAGATTGTCAGGATGCCGCCTCCTCATCCTCCACACAGGCCAGAAATAATGAACACAAGGAGGGTGGATGGCTCCGGAACTGTCAGGATACTATGTGAAGGCTTTCTGTTTGCCTTGAGCAGTGGCAATATCTGCTGCACAAAGGGTTTAGTAGTAACTCTAAAAATAATCAGTGATGACAGCTGGGACTCGGTTCCTGTCAGGACAAAGTTGTCTAATTTAAAACCCAAGCTCTTGGGCTCAGAGTCGGAATCTTTCGCTTCTCTGAAGATATTTGAAGGGAAGGAGGGAGGAGAACCAGGGAGTTTCTTAATTACATCGGAGTTCTTGAAAATATGAGTCCTTAGCTCTTGGGGAGGCCCCTCACCATCCTCGAAAGAGTTCCCATTTCTTGGGGTTAGTATACAAAACACAAGTAACAGTCAAGCAAATTGGCTTCTTCGGGGTAAAAGTAGTTAATACTCCACTAGTCATCTAAGTGAAGAGAGTGCAGTCAAAGCCAACAGACTTGTCTGTGTGCATGTGGACTGACTAAAAATCCAGTGGATGACAGCAGTGCCCTATGCATAGGACAAGAAAACAGAGTCCCATTGGTGTTAAAGGGGCCACAGTTAAGAGCCACCAACAGGTAGGAGCCATGGCTCTTGAGTGTTGAAGGCTTGATTGAAGGCACTGTGCTGGAAACATTTTGGGGAGGACTAGATGTGAGATTTCTTGGTCTCAGCCTGTGCAAGCTGTTTCCTGGGGTTCAGTGGGGGAGGGGACCAGAAGTATACAGATGGGCAGCAGAGTCCTATAAGGAAACTATTATCAGACCTCCAGTCCTTGTGTTAAGGAAAGGTGTCTGTCTCAGCCACACCTTGCCTGTGAGTCTATGATTTCTCCCGAAATGTGTTTGCACTAACAGGGGTCATTGCTCCAGGTGACCTGTAAGGTGCCATGCCAGCAGAAGGCCTTCTCTTCTTCCTCCCTCCTGTGTGTGTGTGTACACTTGTGTGTCTAAGGAGGGAGAAGAGATCAGCCCATGAGAACATACTACTGTGGGACATTTTTCAGCCTAAGTCGATTTTACTCTTAATTTTGAGAGGAAGAAGTTGTCTTGCCTGTTTGCTGGAGTTGGACTGGTCTTCAGAAATGAATGGGACACACTTCTGCCTGAGATCAAAAATGAGATGTGAGGAAGAACTTCAGTTAATCTTCACATACTAACCAGACTGCCTAGGCATCTCTCTCTCTCTCTCTCTCTCTCTCTCTCTCTCTCTCTCTCTCTCTCTCTCTCTCTC